AGCGCCGCAGAGCCCCGACCCCCCCCGAACACCCCCAGGGCAGCCGGGAACCCCCCCAGGACAAAGGCTTACTACTGCAACGTGCAGACCTCCACTAAAAATAAGAGCTCTTGCAACATATTTTTCTGCAAAGACAAAAAAAAAAAAAAAGAAAGAATCTTGCCCTAGGACCAGCATTCCAGTATTTTATTTGTTTTCACCTGTACGACAGCAATTAGCACCAGTACATCATTAAAGCCTCAGGCAGGTGAGCCCAGGGGTAGTTATCTTTGAGCTACCGTTAGCTGTGTCGAATGCCGCCGGGTCTTGTCGTGTGAGTCGGTGGGTCAAGTGTTCTGTGGTGCCTTGTCTGAGACGGTGCCTCTGCCCTCCTCCCATTTCGGTTGAGGCTGCAGGTCGTGAGCCACTGTTTGCAGGTGGACAATTTTGGATTCAAGGCCAGACAGAGTTTACAGCTGTAGTTTAAGCAGCACCCCCAGCGAGGACTCATGCCACGGAAATAATCCAGCAGTACTGGCCACAAGAAGGGACTTGGCTTGTCCCCCCTTAACTGTGAGACTCGCTTTGGGCATCTAGGCAAGTCCAGCCTGTGGACCAAGTTCTGGGTAGCCGCTACCCTTCCCCTTCGTGACCCGGGCTATGTCACAACTGTTTCCATGACAAGACAGCCCAAGCCCTGCTGCAGGACTGGGGACACGGCCAGTCAGGAATGCCCCAGCGTAGGAACGGCCGGTGTTGGTTTTAGCTCCTGTGCTCTTCCTGCCTAGCAAGAGGGACAGAGACGTAAGAGGAGAAGTAGTGCCTACCCCCCAGAAGGTCACAGGGCTGTCCTAGACAACTGCAACGGTTTCTAGACCACGACAGTATCCATGCCACACACAGTGCAACAAGTCCCCAGGTCCAAGAGAGACCAGAGACTCCCCCCGCTCTGTTTTGTCCTTGCCAGAGGCACCAGCACTGACCCCTTTGGTTTTCCCAAGGGCTACCCCAGCTCCTGGTTGGAAGCAGGGAAGGCAGGGGTGGTAGACAACTACTCATTGGTAGTTAGCCAACACTGTCCCTGGGCTTTGGGCTTCTTTCCTGCTGAAGAGCGACCCCAGCCCACTCAGATCTCCCAAGACATCAATTTCAGAAATCTGCAATATTTTAATCAAAACCTACTAAGGCCATGGTTACTTTCACGATTGCACATAGCTTCCTCCATCTCAAAAGCACAAGTTTCTTCCTTAACGTTCAAGGATAGGGTCAAACTTCTGCCTGCGCCCTTCCCGCATGCAGGCAGCACGGCCAGAGCAACGCAATAGCCCCCCAGCACCGATGGTGCATGGCCAGAAGAGCTGACCCTGGACGGCTGAGCAGGCAGCAGGGACAACTGTCAGGAGCTGAGTGACAGGTCAGATGTACCACTGAGTTTTTTGGCAAGGCTCATCTCATGCAGTCACCTAAAGCAAGGAGAGGCTAAGTAAAAGGGCTGTGGGCTGGAATCACTGGAGCGCAAGGTCATGGCACAGAATTGGGGCTTTAAAAGTCACCACTGTACTCTCCAACACATGCAAAGGCTGGAGCAAAGCTGGGCAGGCTCCAGGTACCCTGGGAAGAAACATCATTGAAGTGACAGCACCCAGAATTGATTTGCGGTGTAGTCCAGTCACATCAAGTGGCAATAAAACCGTAAGTGGCTTCAGGATAGCAAGCCCCATTCGCATGAGATGAACGGTGGCTTTTAAAAAGATCACTAAATCCCATCAGTGCTACGTATACAAACCTCATTTATTTTAAAGGCTCCTATTAAAGTGCCTTTTACTCCTAGCAATAGGCAATTTTAAATTGCAAAATAACGACCATCTTCATTCCTGCTGGCCCATGGGGAGAGAGGCTGTGGCAAAGGCCGGCACCCTGGGGACAAGGGTTCTTGAACACTGTGTTTCGGGTGTCTGGATGAGGTCTCCTGTGCCCCAGTGCGGGAGTGCTGGTGCAGCAGTGCTGTCCCGTGGCTTTGCCGTGGTGTGCAGGGTCTCCGCTGAGTTGCCCAGGACGACCTCACCTTGCGGAGACCTCTGGGAACCCAAAGCAGGTCTCATCCCCAGCACTGACATGTCCTGGTGGCATCGGCTCAGGCTTCGGCATCGTCCTGGCTCAGGGTGTCAGCGTCGTGTAGGAGCGGCGTTGTCTCGGAGGAGGAGGGCGGTTTGCTCTGCGTGGTGGGGTGGCTTGGGCTCTTCTCGGCAGCGGTTCTCTGAAGAGGAGAGGACAGCGGTTACAGCCACGCACTCGGCGCTAGCACTGTGCTCAGACCTTACAGTGCGCAGGGGTCACCACATGCCCACTTGGGATCTGCGTGCCCCAAACCTCGTGGACACTAATGGGGCTAAGAACCCTTTTCTGAAGGCTTCTTAAATTGAAGATTTTTGCATCTCCTCCCCTAACAAAATGAAGTTACTTCCATTCCTGCCCACCGACACTTGTAACATCTCCCAAACGCCCAGCCTAAAGAGCTGTGTCAACAAGTGGAAGAGCTACGGGACAAAGTCAGCATGCTGCACAGCATCAAAGAAGATGAAAGGGAGACAGACAGGGTCTTCTCAGAGACACGACATCTTGAAGACCCCCAGACCCCAGCTGCAGTAGAGACACAGACAGCACCCATCCCTAGTATAAAGGTAAGCACAACCTCTGGGGAAGGGGAAGGGTGGAAGCTGGTGCCTTCTGGCACCAAGAGGAAGGCTTCTGCTCCACCTAAAGATTTACATCTATAAAATAGGTTCACCACCCTCAAAGTTGAAGAGGAGCCAGATATGCTTTCATGAAGATCATGTGACCCCCCCAACCCTAAATCACGCAAGACCCCCCCGGAGGAAGCAGCAAGTGACAGTAGTGGGTCATTTCCTGCTGCTGGGGACATAGGCACCCACCTGCCCACCCATCTAGAGACATCTGCTGCTTGCTAGGGACCTGGATCTGGGGTGTTGTGGAGGGACTGCAAGGCTTATCCAACCCTTTGGCTATTACCCGCTACTTCTTCTGTGTGGGCACCAAGGATACCACCAGGGCCACCTGGAAAGTATCAAAAGTGACTACAGAGCTCAGGTGGGGGGAGATAATCAGGGCAAAAAAGCTGGTTGATATTGAAGGATCACCTCCTCCAAGCTCAAGAGTAGTCCATCCCAACAAGCATCCCAAGTCAGGCAAAAATGCCAGCAGGCCTATGTGGATGAGCAGAGAGCTCCTGGCCACACTCAAACGCAAAAAGAAAGCATACAGAAGGTGGAAGCAGGGACAGGTAACCTGGCAGGAATACAGGAGCACTCTCCCAGCATGCAGGGATGAAATTAGGAAAGCCAAAGACCAACTGGAATTGAATCTGGCCAGGGATGTCAGAGACAACAAGAAGGGCTTCTGTAAGTACACGGGTGACAAAAGGAAGACTAGGGAACATGTGGGCCTGTTGCTGAAGGAGGCAGGGGACCCCAGAGACCAGGGGAAAGTCTGGAGCAAGGAAAAGGTACCCTTGGTGGAAGGGGTTGAGGTCAGAGAATACTTAAGCAATCTAGACATACATAAATCCATGGACCCTCATGGGATGCACCCACAATTGCTGAGGGAGCTGGCTAATATCACAGCAAGACCACTCCCCATCATCTTTGAACAGTCCTGGCAATTGGGAGAGGTGCCCAAAGACTGGAGGAAAGCAAGTGTCACTCCTGTCTTGAAGGAGTTAAAGAAGGAAGACCTGGGGAACTACAGGAGGCCAGTCAGCCTCCCTTCAATCCTCGGGAAGGTGATGGAGCAGCTAATCCTAGGAACTATTTCCAGCCACATGAAGGACAAGAAAATCACCAGTAGTCAGCACGGCTTCACCAAGGGGAAATCATGCTTGACCAACCTGATAAATTTCTATGATGAAATGACTGGCTTGGTAGATGAGGGGAGAGCAGTGGATATTGTCTACCTGGACTTCAGTAAGGTTTTCAACACCGTCTCCCAGGAGAACCTCATAGAGAAGCTATGAAGTATGGGCTGGATGAGTGGACAGTGAGGTGGACTGAAAACTGGCTGAACCGCCAGGCCCAGAGGGTCATGAGAAGTGGCATGAAGTCTGTTTGGAGGCCAGAAACTAGCAGTGTACCCCAGGGGTCGTTACCGGGTCCAATCCTAACATCTTTATTAGTGATCTGCAAATCTGCTGATGACACAAAACTGGGAGGAGTGGCTGATACATCAGAGGGGCATGCTGCCCTCCAGAGGGACCTCAACAGGCTGGAGAAATGGGCTGGCAGGAACCTCAGGAGGTTCAACAAGAGGATGTGCAAAGTCTTGCACCTGGGGAAGAACCACCCCATGCACCAGTACATGCTAAGGGTCACTCAACTCTTAAGCAGCTTGGCAGAAAAGGACCTGAGGGTCTTGATGGACACCAAGTTGAACGTGAGTGAGCAATGTGCCCGTGTAGCAAAGGCAGCTAACTGTTTCCCAGTAGGAGTGCTGCCAGCAGGTCGAGGGAGGTGATCCTTCCCCTCTATTCATCACTGGTGAGGCCACACATGGAGTACTGTGTCCAGTTCTGGGCTTCCCAGGACAAGAGAGATGGAGCTACTGGAAAGAGTCCAGCAAAGGGCCACTAAAATAATTAAGGCACTGGAGCATCTCTTACGTGAGCAAAGGCCAAGGGAGCTGGGACTGTTTAGCATGAAGAAGAGAAGGCTCAGGGGGATTTTACCAATGCATACAAGTATCTGAAGGAAGGGTGTAAATACAGAGCCAGGCTCTTCTCAGTGGTGTCCAGGGGACAGGACAAGACCCAATAGGCACAGACTTAAACACGGGAGGTTCCATCTGAACATTAGGAAGCACTTTTTTTTTTTTTTTTAAACTGTGAAAACTGTAAAAACTGAAACAGGGTGCCCAGGGAGGTTGGAGAATCTCCATCCTTGGAGATACGGAGACAAGAGAGATCTGGACACGGTCCTGGGCAACCGGCTCTAGATGACCCTGCTTGAGCAGGGGGGGTGGACTAGATGACCTCCAGAGATCCCTTCCAACCTCAATGATTCAGTGATTTTGTGATCCTGTAATACAAACCCAGATATTTTATACATCAGAAATTCCCTCCTGAAAGCCTTTCTGTTGAGGCTTCCTGCATGCAGGAGGGGAGTGACACCCACCAGTTGACTACCTCTGTTACCCCCATGAGTTTTTACCTGTTCAGAAACTTACCTCTGGATCTCAAGCACTTAGAAGGGGGAAAATAGGCAAGAAAAGTGTTTCCTCACACCAATCCCACTTTTCACCCTGATCCCTGCTGATATTGTCAGGGCTGCAGATCAGGTACACCAGGAGAAACAATAAGAGCATGTGCTTGCAGCCTGCTTAAGTGTGAGTATTAAGACATCTAAATTGCCTTGAATAAAGCCATGCGACAACATCATTCTATCAAATCTTGCCAAGAGGGCATGTCTGGTAGATGTGGACAGTAAACATTTCCATTTCATTGGTTTTAAGCAAAGTTTAATCACATCAGGATGAGAGAAAAATGTGTTACCTGGACTGGGTACCCACCTACAGTCTGGCTTCCCGCAACACCGTCCCCTTAACTGGAGGCAGATTTTTGCCAGGGGTGGCCTGGTTGGCCTTATTACTGTTAGAGTTCTTTTTATTGCTAGTCCAAAATAAAGAGCATCCTTCCTAGAAAACAATCAGGCTAGTTTATGGTGCACTTGGACATGACTTCCATGAAGGTTCCAATTTTAGGAGGAGATTTTAAATCACTGTTTAACTAGAATCTAGTTTTTAATGAAGATTTCAAAATTTAGGTTAAACTAAGTCCTATTTAAGATTTTGGTCAGTGTCAAGCCAGTTTTAAAATGGTCTGTTTGCCTTTTAAAAGCATCAAAGCCTGTGGTGTACAGGTTTTAGGCCATGTTAGCAGAGGAGAGCTACAATGCTGCATCTGGGCATGTTTTACACCTGTACAGATTTATGCATTTTTTAGAACTGTGGGTCCAACAGATGCATTTCAAACTGGCTCCACTATAAGCTAGACTAAGATTTAAGCGTTTCACAGTACCTCATCTGGACTGGGTTTAGAGCACACTGCTCCCTCCAGAAGCCAGCGGCACACAAGATACTCCAGGCAGGAGCTGGGTTCAGGGAGACCTTCACACTGACAGGCACGTGAAGGTGCAGTCAATGCCCCCGCTCAGTGTCCTCTCTGACATCGCCTGTGACTTCAAGAGGGAGGACTGTGCATGATTAAGCAATCATTGCTAGATCAGCAACACTTCAATCAAATGAGGAACACACCTTGGCTGCAAATTGCTGTCTTCCAGCTCTTATCGGTTCATTAGGCAGAGACTTTCATGTGTTGTTGTGCAGCTTCCTTAGAGATTTATAAGGTCATTGAGGGTTTTTAATCACTTTCCAGGTAGTCAGGCACTTCCTGCGGTTGATTTTTAGTTCTAGCACTTCATGACACTTTTGGCTGAGCACCCAAATACAGCTGGCTTACGCTTGGGTTTGGGATATTTCCCAAGCAGATATTCAGTTGACTTGAGTGAATTTAAATTCCAGCTTTTCTTCCCGAAAAGCTTTCCTTTCTTCCCTGCCCTTTCTGGCATGGTTGAGGCTCTTTGATACCAGGAATTAAGACTTGCACAAAGCAGGGTGAGGAAATGCCAGCCCAGGGCCACATAAGGTCTTACAAATAGCTGCCTAGCAAATACAGACATTTTTCAGATATGCCTGTGCTATGCAGCAGAGTGAAGTCTGTTTGCCAGCAAGCACTTGCTGTTGTCGGAGCAGAGAGGTTCAGCACACAAAGCCTGACCATCCCTGGAGCACAGTAAGGGTTTAACGCTGAACCCTCAGGTCCTAGCATCGCTCCCACCCTGCAGGGAAGTGCGCGGAGGAACAAGGGGATTTGGGATCATGTGTTTAAGTCAATTAAGCAGTTGTAGGCTTGGTTAAAATCCAGTTATGTGATACTCTGAGAACCCTGGCACTATTTAAAGTGGGTTTGTGTTAGTGTTTCGGTAAGGGCAGTTACAGGAGGTTGAGCAAAAGCAGTCCCTCGCACGTGCTCTCCCCTTAGCCCGCTCTCATCCACAGTATTGCCTTTTTATCCCCACAAGTAGCCTCCTCACTTCTGTAGCTTTAGAGCCAGCTCAAGCCGTTTGACTGTAGTGCAAAACTAAATAAGCTTGCTTTGATAAAGGTTAGGGTAGGGAGCTAGATCTCTACTTCAAGAGCTAAAGCTTTTAGAGAGCTTAGTGTTATCAGATGAATGTTTTGGAGCCGGAGCCACAGATCTCCATCAAGTGTTTTAGCTGCTTTATATTCTGTCCTTACAGCTCAGATCAGACTCGTGTGCCAGCCAGGCACCCTCACTGCCCGCCCAACCACCGGCCAACTTCTACCCAGCTGCCAGCTCCCTGCAGGCTTCAAAGGTCTTCGCTTCTCAGTAAGCCCAGATTCACAAAGGCCCTGAAGGTTTAACTGCCAGAGCTATTTGGAGTAGTTTGCAGAGAAACCAAGCGAATTTCAGGAAAAGACAGAGCTCAGACTGGGTTGAGAAGCGGCCACAGTATCTGTGCCCCTTCTGCAAGAACACAGCAACTGCATTTCACTTGTGAACAAGCTGCGCTCAAGTAGCTCCATCCCCTCGAGAAAGCTCTGTTCAGATTAGAAAACTGTTGGGACCCTGCAGAGATGCACAGATTTGTGCAATGGCACAGACCTGCTGCTTTCTATGGAGGCTGGGTTGATAAGCCAGGCTTGTTCTTTCATCAGCTGAATGAGCTGAGAAGTACCTCCTCCTACAGGAATCCACTTCTGTCACTGTTGTGCACTGAGAAGGCTAGAAATGCTTTTACGTTATCTATTTGCAGCCCAATTTCTAGATGGCCGAGGAAGTGCTGCTGCTATGTGCTGGCACCTGGCACCATTAGGACATTGTTCGTGGCATCAGCCAATGTTTCCTCAGGAGTGTTAGATTGTCAGCCCAATCTACATCATCTGATTAAGTCTGATTTGACTAACAGCATTTCCCATTAGACATCTGCAAGTTCTTACCTGACTTGTTGCCATGAGTACAGCTGCTGACATAATGAGCAGGACACTCAGCCCAAGGAAGATATACTGCAGGTAGTCCAGCAGGGACGGGATCAGCACCAGATTGGTGTAAAACTGCTTTAGGACTGAGCCTTCGATAGATCCGCTCTGCTCAAAAAAGCAAAGTTGTCAGTGGCATTTCCCTCCCATCCAGGGCTGAGACAGACCAGCTGCACAACTCCTCTCCCACCACCTCCCAGCACAGATTAGGGAATTTATGCAAGATTCAGTCAGGCTAGAAGCTTTTACTAAATAATTGGAGTCAGCTGGACGGACACACAGCTGGATGCTGCACTCCCTAGCCCACATTAGCATGGGGATGCTAGCAGCTCTGTTCTGGGCCCTATTTAACCCCACATCTAGGACAAAGCCAGAGGTTTACCAAGTATAGTGGAGGGCTTGTTCAGCTCAGAGGGATTAACGACATAGCCAAGTATTGCAAAGCCTTCTGTTGGTGCTTAATTAGTCTGTCTGGCTTAAAGCTTTATCCAAAGTGGAGTTTCCCCAGCACTGGGTGATGGGGAAGCAGTTCCCCTCTCCTGCAGAATCAGGTCAAGGAAGGCAGCTCACCTCTGCAAACCACAGCAGCGGCAGGACCACCGGCTTAATCTTCCCTGTTTGACTAGGGAGGGACGAAAAAAAAAAGAAAAAAAAAAAGAAATACACACTTAGATTTCTGGTTGATCCAGGCCACAATTAGTGCCATAGTTCTTCCTAAAGGGACAGGCCTGACAGACTGTTAACGGCCAGGAAACCAGTGTAAGGAGGTAGCAATTCCTGCTGCTTCAGTGAGCTGCTCCCTTCCCTGAGGGACCAGGTCCAACTTGGGCCCTTCATGCAAGAGCAGACCTTACTCTTTCATTTGTGCTTAACTCCCTGATGACAGCAGTAAGTGCCATCCCAAATGTGGGCTCCAGGGACATGAACTCAGTGAACTGGAAGGCTAAACTTCATACAGCTCCAAGACGTCTCAGTCACCTGCATGGTACCAGAGGGCGGTGCGGCCAAGTTCATGGTGTCAGGGCTGTCTGCTGGTGTACGCACTTGAGCCAGTCAAAGCAGCAGGAGCACACTCCCACGCTTTTGGGTGTTTAACATCTGGCACCACACAACTTTGTTACAGAGCCCTTCTGTTTGCTTTCATAGAGCTGAAAGTGTCTTTTTGGACACAGGCTTCAACTGTCAACTCTGTAGGCAGAGTGTATTTTGCCTCTCCGTATTGGATGTAATACCTTCTGAGCAGCAGCCCAGTGCAGGCGAACCGCTCCTGTGCCTCACCAGGATCAGTCCATTCATTGGGCTGTCCAGTCAGGTGCAAGAATGCTGCAGGAGTCAAGCAACCAGGCAGCCACATGCTGTGCCTCTAAAGGATGGCAGTTTGAGGTCACTGGAATAGCTGTCATTTCACCATATAAGCCAGCTGGCTTCTGCAACCATGACAACTGGTAATGTTAAAGGTACTTCATCTTTGGGGAGAGTAAACTCTGCAGTGATCCCAGCATCAGCAGCACACCCTGCTCAAGGGAGATGGACATTTCCAAAAGGTGACTACTTACATTATACCAGACACCTGCTTTATGTACAGGTTCAGCTGGAGCTTGATGGAGCAGTTCATGGGGATGCCCGTCATCTGCATAGGAAGAGACAAATCAGTTCATAAGTGAAGGCAACATTTGTCTGGAGAGCTTTGCAGAGGAGCACCCTTTGCTTTCCATCATAGCTGTTCTGGGCACCACCTTCCAGAGCAATGGATTGGATCATCCAAAGATCCACTGCAGTCAACACACAGAAGACCAGGAGTATAGCTGGGGTTTCCACCAAAGCACAAGCATTGGTCAACCAGGTACCAGTCCCCAGGCCCTGAGGATGACCGCTCACGAAGGGACAGCGCTGTCCCCATGGCACTTTGCAGTCTGTCCCCTTCACTTGAACGCTCACAGCAGCATCCAGAAGGGCTCACCTCCCTTGGGGCAGTCTGAAGGCAAAAAGCAAACCTGAACGGATGTGGCTGCTGCAGAAGGCAGCGTGCATTCAGCGGGCAGACAGCATGAACCAGGGAGGCGTTGTGCGACCCAGGGCTTGTGGGACTGAACAAAAGCAAGTTCAAATTACCAAGTAGCATATGCAACCTGTAAGTGATTCCCTAGGCAGAGTGTTTTAATAGCAACTTCAGTGGTTTTTGAAGCCTGATAAGCCTCTTCTATCATTCGTCCTACCAGCAGCAGGATGGAAATGCATCAGTGCAAAAGATTCGTGCACACAGCAAAGAACAAAACACTTCTCATAACTAGGAACCAACAGACATCACTGTCCAGCAACTCCCTAAGACCATGAAAACACACGACGAAGCTGGTCTTGCTGACACCCATTAAGGCATTGGTTTCTCATGACACTGCAGTTTTGCAACACATTTTTGAGGGCAGAAAGTTTTTGTTGGATTGCCCCACTTGTACTCAGCAGGCCTCAGCTAGATAAGAATTAGTTAATTGGACTGTTATCAGTAGATGTTTGATACTGTAATAAACTTAGATTTCCATAACTGTGATAAGAAAAGCAGAGAGAACCTAATGCCTAGATAAGCAGCACAGCTTACCTTACCTCAAGAGGGGGATTGGTTTCTTGCTTGAGCAAACATCACTGAACATTTGGAAGATCTGACCACGTGCAACACAGGCCATGGGTGGAAGATCCCAAAGTCCCCTCCCCATCAGCGGCTGGGACAACGATGGCTCAGGACACCCCAACTCATCACCACTGGAGCGGTGACTTCACCCTTATGCTATAGACATGCGAGAAGTGTAACACAGCAGCAGTCCAGTGCGAAAGCAGCCAGTTAGATGGGCAGGTTGAGAGACTGGAAGAAGCCAGCCCAAAAATGGCGGTGACAGCTTCAGCTTCAGCTACAGCGTGGTCTTCAGACTTTGCCAGTCAGCTCTCATGGCAATATGTGTTTGCAGATATGGGGTGTAACTGGGCCGCTGCTAGATACACTTCCTGGTGTTATAGACCTGAGTCAGTAGAAAGAACTTGACTGTGCTTATCAAAACAATTATGCTTATAATTAGTTCTGCAATTCTCTAGAAGCCAGGCTAGTTATTCAATTAGTTTATGGCTTTGACATTTTTATCTGCACATGTCCTCGCCAGTCTTTGCACTATGGAACCTGCTCAAATAGGTGCCACGAGCACAGAGCGAGGCCACCACGCAGCCGGTGGCAGGCTCCCCCCTCCCCAGCCCAGGCTGGACCCCCGGGGCAAGGCGAGATTCCTCCACGGGGTGAGGACCCCGGCAAGCTCACTCACCGGGTGCACATCAAGGAAGAGCGCGTGCTGGTCCTTGCTGGGGTGGAGACCTTCGACAGCGTTCACCAGGGCTGGGTCAGCATTGTAGAAGTGAGGATGGGAAATGAATATTGGTGCATCTGGATGAGAACAAAGACACCTTAAGCTCATCTGAACCCATTTGAGACTTTTTGTTGAGGTTTTTAAGCCATTGCAGCACTTCTTCTGAACAGGCTTTTATATTTTTCTTCTCCCAACCAGAAAGCTCCTTCCCTCCCTGAAGCTTATTCCGTTGCTCTGGGAGGGTTAAGACTCAGTGTTTAAGCCACTGTCTCCCGCCAGGCACCATGCAATGCCGTGGCAACTCGCTGTACCCAGACATGGGTTAGGACACTAAATCTGAATTCTCACTCCACGTGACCTGTGCTCAGCATCCAAAGTTAACGTTTAATTCGGCAGTTATGTGGCCTGTCTCTTCCTACCCTTGCTCCCCTGCCTGCTCCCTCCCCAGCCCGGGGGACGTAACGCTCCCACAGTATCCTTGGGAATTCCCACAAACGCCAGGCTGCCACAGGGCCATGGACCAAGGGGACTTTGGGCACAAGGATTTTCCCTCTTTCCCTCCTTGCCGAGGTGCCTGCAGGAGTGTAAGCAAGAATGCAGACCTCGGCAATACCTTTTAGCACTCCAGCAGATAGCAGAGCCAATTTTTCCAGACAGCCAGGTTCGTATCACAGCCCCACAGTTTAATATTGGTACGGCAGGTCGAGCCCGGGGAGGAAAGGACTTACTTAGCCTACAGGTACTGACGTTCTGGATGCCAGACTGCATGCAGGGGCAGAAGCCTTCGTTGGGTGGATAGTCCGTGCCATTGGCAAAGAGAGTTTTCGGTGCCACGAAGCGATAGGTGGGCACACCCTCGAACTTCCCAGATCGCTCGTACACCAGTGTCATGGATCTGGAATGGTTTCAGTGGAGAGGCATCAGGATTAGCCAACAGGTTCCCAGCCCAGAACCGGGCTCTTATCTTCACTGAATAAGACGCAATTGCAATGTAACTTAGACTTTGAGATCATGATAAACTTCAGAGCAGTGCTTTGGATAGGGAATGAGTATTTAAACCATTTGCTTTCCATGTTTTAAGCACAGATAAAGGGTTGGTCAGGACTAGTTATGGAGACAAACCACAGGCTTCTAAGTCTGTTTGCAGTATCTGGATGAGATTTGTTTAAAGGCATTTAGTAATCCCCAGGGCTGCTCTCCAAAAGATAATACCCTCTTTGTGCAAGCCTTGGCTCCAAGGCGCTCTGTCACAGGGGATGGACACTGGCTAAATCTCTTTTGCAGCACAACTCCAGCATATAGGGTCTCAGGGGAGTGGAAAATTTTACTACATTATGCAGCAAGATTTTTTCTTGATACAACAGGCTAGTGATGTTACACTGCATTATTGCTACCAGCTGGCCAGGACAGATGCAAGTTTCCAGGAGGGAAGTTTGCTCCCTTCACACTCCAGTGAGGCTTGCAAGGATGCAAACAGCCTGGGCAGGCCAAGGGGATGCTTATTCCTACAGCTGCCTTCTGACACCAGGACCAAGGATGGGGGATCCAGGGCCTGTTCAGCAGTTATGTGCATGCCTTTCGGCTGTGCTCACCTTCCAGCAAGCAGGCAGAGGCTGCTGCAGCATATCAGCAGGATAAAGCCTTGCCTACCTTGCAGGGACATCCAGGTAGTTGCATCTCAGCATCAGCTGGATTTAATGTGCAAACAGCATAGGAGATGAGCCCTGCATGCCCTGCAGCAAGGCAGATATGCTCTTAGTCTATCAACTGATGTTTGTGACTCCTTCCCAGCCAGCTGGGCTAGCAGAGAGGCTGAGACAGAGATGTGGGGAGAAGAGACAGCACTGGCTGGTGAAGAGGCAGAGCCACTTCCCCCACAGCATTATCCAGCAGGAACCTCCTGCGCTAACAAGAAACCAAGCTTGGTTTCCTCCCATTCACTATATGCCTTGCCTGGAAACATGCTCTGTTTCCTAGAAGATTTCTGCAGTTTTACAGAAACAGGTATGTGTATTTAAACTTCGATTACCAGTAAACTTCCCTGTAAGTCCTTTGCTCTGGGTCATTTTGGTATTTGCTGATGTCCCTTGTGTAGAGGAATTCCTGCACTAATACTTGGCTCAGCTGACTTTGCTTGTTCCGTTGAAGAGGTCATTGTTCTCCATTCAGCAAGAGCGCTTGCTTGTTTTGCAGCACAATCTACAAAGCCTGAATTAACTTTATCTTCCCCAAGCTGGGGACAGGATTTTGTGCCACCTCCTGCCTCCCGGCTTCCCTTCCTTCCAGCCTCAGGGAGTTTCCACACAGGCAGGCTCTGCAGGATGCTTTAACCCCTGTGTGATCAGCTAGGGTCAGGGTGTCTTATACAGGACAGACATGCACAGCAGCACATGAAGTAGGCAGCAAAAAAAGCGAAGCAGCCTGGAAAATGGCACAAGCCCCTCCATCACTTCTGCAAGCATTTAGTCAGCTGAAATAGTTCCGCAAATAGTTATAGCTGCATTTCCTTGTGACGACGCTTACTTCACCCTCTCACCTCCCACATCTTATCTAGACTGGTTATTTTCTACTGATTCAACATGGGCAAGTTAGACTTCTCCAGTGATCTGGAAGGTATTTATGAATACCACAAGATGCTGCTAGTTAGACAACTACACTGTTCGCAAAGCTCAGATACTGCAATGCTGAACAGCAGCTGAACTTTAACTACAGAAACGAGTCCTGAGCCCTCTGTGTCACTGCACAGGTATCCTGTGTGCATGGGATGAGTGCTGCATCTCCTGGCACTTGCACAGGGACAAGCTGGCAGCTGTGGCCTCACCTGCAGGCATCAGGGCTGTAGAACTCCAGCGACGTCGGGGACATGAATGGTGGCCACATCTCCCCTGCGGTCCCATTGATCATGTTGCACTCGCTGCTCCGCCAGTAGTTCACCTACGGGACAGATGTAGAGAGAAGAGCTCAGAATGACAAGCTTGCTGGAGAGTTGGCTTCCACCCCTGCATGGGACATCCACCACTCTACACTGTTTCCATAGCAGCTTGAGATAGCAGCACCAAAGAGCTTCCAAGATCTTTCCCATTCTAACATCTGCCCAATTAATGGAAAAACAGGACAAGATCCACCTGTCCCAAGTGTTCCCGCAGTGGCTGATCTGTAGATTCAGTTGATTTTAGTCAGGAGTGGAATTCCACAAGGGAAGAATAAGCATCCCTTTAACAAGGTTATTTAAAGTAACGCCTTAAACACAGGCCACAGGGGCCTGGGACTTCAACCATTAGAAGCAACCAGCTCCAACAGCATTTCAAGGGAGTCAGAGTGACACAGATGATGAGCTGAACTTCATGCTTCATGACAAGCTTCTTGTCATATGGCTGCCTTCTGGCAATTTGCTAGAACAGAAGTTGCAGCAGTTGAAATCCCATAGAAACCTGCCTTCAAACCTACAACTCAAAGATACAACACCACCAAGAGCTTTCAGTTTATCTTGCTTTAGATCAGGCATTGCCCCTGTGTTAGAGGTTTGTTGCCTGACACTCACCTTCTTTAGTCCATTCCATGAATCCACCATGTGAACTCTACTGATATTCTTCATGCCCGTGTTCACTGTGAACAGCCCTGAATTGGAGTTATTAAGCTGTAGAGAGAAGAAACTGATTTTTAATCCACTATACACAGCAAGACTGCAATATGTTAATGACTTAGCATGCTTTGTCAGCTCTAGGGGTGTTTCACATACTGGAAGGTACTGAACTTTTACTTATTTCTGTTGCCAGCGACAGCTTCCAACACATGCGTTTCTGCCTGAGGGGAGAATTAAGGCAGCCTTACACAACCACCACCAGCTACACATGGCTGCTCCAAATGGTTTGTGAGGGGACCGTGTGTCTGGGCTATCCCCAAGACCAATATTGCTGTAATTTTAGTGTTCCCCACCAACAGTTTACTTACCTCAATAAATAAGCCAAATTTCCCCTTGAAAGGGATCAGGCCAGGAACAAACATATTTATTGTGTCTATAAGAGGGTCTTCATACCCCCACATGATCTCCCCCACCGTCCGGTTCATGAATGCCTCCTGTTTCAGGCCAGCCAGGGCTCCACTCAGTAAAAGCTTCACAAAGTTTGGCAGGTTTTCCATCATTATAGCTGCTCCCTGGGAAAGAAATCAAACCTCTGAGATGAGAGCCCAATCTTTACTAAAGAAGCAGCAATGCATCCTCGGTGCTCAGCAAGGTCCTTCTGCTGCACCGCTCTACAGCCCTGGAGAAATCCTTTGGACAAACTGAGGTTTGTCATTTATCCCCAGTTTGGGAGGAAAGCAGTTGAGGCCTCACAGGCTTCATTTGCCCAGAGGATGCTCAGATGAGGTTGCAGACTCGAGCCCAGCCGCTTTGCCAGCCACTCTGCACACTCTGCTTTTAGAAGGGTAACAGCCCAACACGACAAGCAACACCCAGAAAGCAGAAAACTGTATTTTGTAAGCTTAACCCACCTCATGGCTCGATTAGCCTTAAGCTCTACAAGAAAGTAAGCTTTGAGTCAGCACTGGGCATTATCGCCCTCCCCGCAAGCTCAGAAACTGGTACCCATCCACGGAGCAAGTCCTTACCATCATCAAAATGTTTGGCACAACGATGTACTCATCTTCACTGCCGTTGGACAAGTCCGGCTGGAAGAAGAGTTTCCGGTACTCCAGGAAGGAGACTGTGTCATTGTCATGGAATGTGATATTCGTTTTATACCTGAACTCTCTGCAAAGAGATGGGAGTGATCAGAAGAACCTTCCTCCACGCAACGCCTGTGGAGCAAGGATGGGCTGCACAGGCCTGGGCACGCTTCTGAAGAGCAGAGGAAGGAGGCCAGACCCCAGCAAGAAGCCATGGGACAGCAGGGGAGGCAGCGTGCTGGGGAACAGGCAGCGTCAACCTCACACCCCAACCAGGGTTAGGGTCTAGCAGGAGGAGATGGCAGCCTGGGAGCGAGGCATCCCTGACAGATGGGATTCTGCAGCAACTTGCAGACACCAAGTGTTTCTTCCCAGCTGATGAGAAGGGGCTGCAATGCTCCACAGTAGCATGGTTGTCCCCAACATCGTGAGCCCGTTACAGCTCCCAAGAGAGCTGCAGCTCAACCCACCAGCAAAAACAAAGTCCTTTATTGTGGAGTCTCTGTTTTATGGCCCACATTAGGGAAGGGCACTAATCTTGCTCAGCGGGAACACAAGGACACTAATAAGCTTTGCCCCTTTGTTTATTCTTATTTACGCTAAGTGAAGCCTTTTCCCCAAGCCAAGTCACTGATGCGATCACAACATACAGAATCCACATGGTCTTATGGTGTGACCTGGCAAGCACAGGGGAAACAAGAGCATATACGTACTGCCAGGTTTCCCCCAACGCCAATCAAACAGCTTTGGATTAAACCAGTAATCTCCCCACATGAGCTTGCTTAGGCTGCTGACCTGACTTTGCCTACATGTGTAGGCACTAATGTGTTTAATATTGCTATTTACAGGTAAGTTCACACGCTCAACTCAACATCAACCATCACTTCATGTTTCGGGTTCAGAGAAGCACCTGGGGCTTCAACCACCATCCTCAGCCATAGCAAATAGACCCAGCCTTGCTGTAGGTGGGCCTGACCAAGTTTTAGTGCTCCATAATGGTATTCATGACCAGAGCACTCATGTTAGGCAGATTCTGGGTCTCATGTTAAATAAGAGGTCTTAGGCCAATCCGTGAAGTTTGATACTGAAGTGACTCCAGCTCTGGAGCTGGGGTCTTAAATGCCCAGTGAAGATGAAACAAGTCCATTCGGAAGATGAGGGCTGCCCACCACCACACCAACACCCCTCACGCCTACGTTTGGACCATATCGGCCCAGGTCTGGCTGTCCAACAGGTCCCCGCACGGGACTGAGCTCCACAATTCAGTGAAGCACAGACCAGCCTTACCACCCTGGAAGCCAGAGGTCCTACTTGTGGCTTTAGCAAGATCAGAGCAATTAGAGCACATTTGGGTTGCTCTAAAATCCTGTGCCACTGGACTCACACCAAGTATGCTAATGCCATGCCCTCCTGCCACAAGAAGCCTGGCAGGCAGCACAGTGGCCAGGCTCATGCCTAGCTGGACCACAAGCGGTACCTGACCTGTAAACATAGGGTCCACGCTGGTTCAGCACCGGCTTTGCGCCCTGGAGGACCTCCTTGGGGTTCAACACTTCAAAGAAGTACACCGACATGTAGAAAGGAACGGGAATGTCTTTCCACATGCTGAAGGAGATGCTGCTGGGGTCGATCCTGACATTCTGCAAGGAAAAAAAAAAAAAAAAGAGTAAGGACACACAGCTCTTGGGCTTAGTGGCTGCAGCTGAGCACATCCACCTTCGGCTCCATGGCAGGCCCAGCTGAAGGCAGCAGTTCCAGCAGGGGCTCTCCAGAGGATCCAGGCATGTTATGCAGACTGAAACTGAGCCAGATCTAACCCAGGAACTCTTATGTATGCAGAAGCATCAAGTTCATGCCACAGGATGTCTGTAGGCTTATTTATTCAGGCTCAACTTTCCAGATCCTACCCACAGGATTTCAGAGCTGTTTTGATGTGCTGGAGGCTCACTCTGTGCTAGACAAGCCAGCACTGAATTATTCACAGCTCTGCATGTTTGACTTGCCTGGCAGAAACAACCCTGTCCCAAAGGCCTCTGCTCACCTGCCAGGTTTGGCAGCTCCACGCAGCCAGAAGCACGCAAGGGCTGGGAGAGGTGACACCCATCTGCACAACTGTTTGGGTACGGGCCAGGTAGGGCCTGCTAAATTCCCCAAAAGCAGATCAAGACCTGGGATGGCGACCCAGCTGCGTCCTGACAGCGCTGTGCAGGACACCTTCGCTTTCCTCTGAGCTGCCATCCTGCAGTGACTCACAGCTGGTCATAAGGCAGGTCAAAGGCAACACACAATGGGCGTTTCCATATCACTCTCCCGTTTGCTGGGAAATGCCTGCAGGACCCCAAACATGACTTAAGCCCTCACCAGCTCCCCAGCCCAGGAGCTGGCATCTGGGCACATCTGTCTCCACTCCCTCCCTGCCTCCCGAGGTCTGCCTTGTGGACAAAGGCCTGTTCCTTCTTGAGCATTTATTTTGGGTGTGTTCCATCATAATCTTCGCTTCCTCTGCAAGCACAAGCCCTTGCTGTGGTTAAGTAACCCAGACAGCTTATGGAAGTGGGTTTGATCCACTAATTGGTGAAGGCACATGGGCATTATCCCACTGCAGCTTGGCAGCCCCACAACGGCTCTCCTGCCCTGCAGCAGCTCGATCTGATTGTACATGTATTTTCTGCCACAGGGAGTTGAGAAGGAAGGCTGCTGGAGGTTTCCCCACAACACCCCATCTTTCTTTAGCCATTTCGTGGCGAGGCTGTGCCACCCACAAGCAGCGGGGCTTTGCAAGCCCCCTGCTGAAGCCCAGATGCTCCAAGCCCTACCCCTGAGCAGACACGTCCACAGTGCAGTGTAACCCACCTAGCAAACCCTTCCCACCTCCACACCAGCACCCACCTGCTGGTGGCCAAGAACCTCCGTCCTGCCAGGCTCAAGGATTTCCATGGCAAAGCAGCAGTTAGAGGATGAGAACCACTCAGATTTTATTTAGCCTGCTTTATAATCCCTACTCCTGAGTGTCCAATAGAGTCTGAATCTGCTTTCCTTTACTTGCTTATTCTGCCTTGCATTCCCTGGATCCCTCATTGCATATGCATTTATTTATGTAATATGTACACAGTCAGATGGAGCTGCATCCCAGCTCCCTGCTACCTTTCTCAGCCCTCTCCCATCTGAGCACAGCAGCTCTAGGTACTCCACCAACGCTGCTAAGCAGGATCTACTTAACAGGGTAGCCTTACAATTAAGCCACCTGTAGGTCAAACCAAACATGGTCATAGGTCTGAAATAAAAACAGACTATTTTTCACTTAGATGGGTTACAAAGTGTCACTGAGATGTTTGACCCCTCCTGACCAGGCTGATCTCTGTTCCTGAGGAAGCGCAAGGAACTGGCTACGGCCTGGCTCCTCCAGACAGCACCAGAAGAGCAGCAGCTCCATCAGCAGAGCCCAAATCCTGCTTCTCCGGAGGCGAGGCTTCAGCCATCCTGCTCAGTAAAACCGAGAGTTGAGGTTTCCTCTTCAGATTGAGAGGAGCAGTCATGCTGTGTGCAACCACAACCTCAGTGTCACCCTCCACATCCTCTCGCCACCATGCTCATCACCCTGCTAAAACAGCAAAGACTGTCAGTCTTCTCCCAGCTTTCAGGCAGGACAGCACAAGAGCTCCCGGGTGGAGCAGAAGTGGCAAGTGGCAGATGGATGAGTCCATGGGTCTCACTGCGTTAAAGCTCATATCTTAGACAGGTCGGTGGCACTCCAGGTACTTCCAGAAAAGCAATGTCCCCAGGTTTTGCAGGGCCGATGCCGCAGGCAGCCCAGCTGCCAGGACAGCTGCAGTTTCTGTAAATGGGGCAGGAGAGAGGCTCCAAGTTCCCCATTTCTACTGCATGTTCCCGTACGGACTTTACTCAAAGATATCCTCAAAACTACAATCTCTTTGCAACTAAGTGCTTTCCCGTCAGGAGACACCATCTGGACAGGGCTCAGGAAGCCAGGATGGGCAAAGCAGCCTTCACCTGCCCAACCCCAGCCCTTCAAGGACCAGCTCCTCTTACCTACACCACTCTGAATATCAACCCAGGAGTTTCAGTAAGGCCCTGGGTATTTCTCATCACCCTAGACATCATTACTCAGTTATGTTTTCCATTTCAGATTAAGCCTCATAGGAGCTCAGGACCATTTTGGGTCATGCTGAAGATGTGGAGACCAAGGGCTTGAGATGAAGGGAGACCTGAGGAGAAACAAGGGCTCGTCTTTTCCTCACCTTCTGTTCTCACCGCAAGTTCTTAGGAATTAGCTAATCAAGTAGAAAGAATCAGGTCTGGCTAAAAAGAAGAGGGCAGAAAGGTTTTCACACCAAAAATGTCATTCCTGTTCTGCAGGGGCCGTTCAGCCTTTTCTTTGCAGGTACCAGCTCCTGATGCCCATGAAACTGGACAAAGATTGACCTTTACTGCTTAAGCCACAGGACTGACTGGCTTTGCCCAGCCAGCAGCACTTCCAGAGGACACAGTTAACTAGAAGTTTGGTTTTGGTGGAGACTTTGCGGCACACGTAACCGCAGCCATTGACTATGGGGTGTTTATTCACCTTTTTCATCAGAAGCACGTTTCCAGGTGCTGCCCTGGGTGGGTGCAAGCTTGAAGAAACGCCCAGGTAGGGTGCACGTCTCCTTTGGGTAGGGAGAAAAAGGTTTGGCTAAATGTAGGAATGAGCCAAATGTTTGTTACAGCAGGATAACTGGTGCCCCAACAGCGAGGACAGGAGCACTGGTTCCCAAGACTGTGCAGCAGTTACTGAACAGACCAACAAGTCCATCCACAGCCCCACGTCTTAACAGTGAGGGACAAACACCCCTTCAGCCCCAGAGCCTCCCTTGAGGTCTTCAGAGAGGCAGCTCTTTAGGTTTTCAGTCAAGGAGAGAATGACTTGGAGGTCGCTCCACGCACGAGGCTCCTTCAGAGCACTCGTGCACACCATCTGTGCCATTTCCAGTTCGGAAAGCATCTCACCAGAGTACATCTGAGCCTGGCAGTCTGCACGCCTATATGAAAGGAACAACTAGCGCTGTAGGTAAACGTAGTAGGGACAGAAGGAAGGGCCGCTGCTTGCGGCAATGCTCAGCCCAGCACCACCAGCACCATCCCCCCCGGCTGACTCCAGCTATGCAAAAAGCCCTTGCTAATCCGCGGTGAGAGCCCATTCAGCCCAGGCACATTTGCTGTAACCAAGGGGGGAATATCCCAAGCCCGGATTTGCCCGCACTAAGATTCTGAGGCCGCTCAGAGCTGCAGCAGCGACACCGACGCAGAGACCCTTCGGTGCCCAGCCGTCTCGCGTTCCTCCGGCTTACACCGCACAGGGAGAACATGCCCACGCACCACCAGCCCTGGCTGCGCACCGGCTCCGGCACGCCGCACCACCAGCACCCCTGCACCTCGCACCGGCTGCGTACCAGCCCCGTACCAAGCCCCCAGCCGTGCACCGCCTCCACCTCCCCTCGGCCCCCATGCACCAAACGCGTACACCCCCC